TAAGATTCAAACCCATCAAATTTCTGAGTCCTAAGCCCTCTTCCGCAATTCACTCCTTGGTTTCTCTTGCCTCAAAGTGATCCCTTGTGCTTCAACTTCTCAAGGCTTCATCGCTTTTGGACAGATCAGTGTGTGCGCGCTAGGAACTTCCTTCTCGGGTTAATCCACCTTGGAGCTTCAAACTAAGATTCCTAAGGCCTAGTTGCTTGTCTCATGCTTTGCCAGATCTGAATCCACACCCATGTGTACAAGACTTGATGGAACGAGTGTCCACCTTGCATCTTTCATTTTTAGCTTTGTGCATTGGCACTTTGTTGCTTGGCTTCTTTCACCCTTATAGCCTTCAAATTTGTCTCATGTGGTAAGATTCAAACCCATCAAATTTCTGAGTCCTAAGCCCTCTTCCGCAATTCACTCCTTGGTTTCTCTTGCCTCAAAGTGATCCCTTGTGCTTCAACTTCTCAAGGCTTCATCGCTTTTGGACAGATCAGTGTGTGCGCGCTAGGAACTTCCTTCTCGGGTTAATCCACCTTGGAGCTTCAAACTAAGATTCCTAAGGCCTAGTTGCTTGTCTCATGCTTTGCCAGATCTGAATCCACACCCATGTGTACAAGACTTGAAGGAACGAGTGTCCACCTTGCATCTTTCATTTTTAGCTTTGTGCATTGGCACTTTGTTGCTTGGCTTCTTTCACCCTTATAGCCTTCAAATTTGTCTCATGTGGTAAGATTCAAACCCATCAAATTTCTGAGTCCTAAGCCCTCTTCCGCAATTCACTCCTTGGTTTCTCTTGCCTCAAAGTGATCCCTTGTGCTTCAACTTCTCAAGGCTTCATCGCTTTTGGACAGATCAGTGTGTGCGCGCTAGGAACTTCCTTCTCGGGTTAATCCACCTTGGAGCTTCAAACTAAGATTCCTAAGGCCTAGTTGCTTGTCTCATGCTTTGCCAGATCTGAATCCACACCCATGTGTACAAGACTTGAAGGAACGAGTGTCCACCTTGCATCTTTCATTTTTAGCTTTGTGCATTGGCACTTTGTTGCTTGGCTTCTTTCACCCTTATAGCCTTCAAATTTGTCTCATGTGGTAAGATTCAAACCCATCAAATTTCTGAGTCCTAAGCCCTCTTCCGCAATTCACTCCTTGGTTTCTCTTGCCTCAAAGTGATCCCTTGTGCTTCAACTTCTCAAGGCTTCATCGCTTTTGGACAGATCAGTGTGTGCGCGCTAGGAACTTCCTTCTCGGGTTAATCCACCTTGGAGCTTCAAACTAAGATTCCTAAGGCCTAGTTGCTTGTCTCATGCTTTGCCAGATCTGAATCCACACCCATGTGTACAAGACTTGAAGGAACGAGTGTCCACCTTGCATCTTTCATTTTTAGCTTTGTGCATTGGCACTTTGTTGCTTGGCTTCTTTCACCCTTATAGCCTTCAAATTTGTCTCATGTGGTAAGATTCAAACCCATCAAATTTCTGAGTCCTAAGCCCTCTTTCGCAATTCACTCCTTGGTTTCTCTTGCCTCAAATTGATCCCTTGTGCTTCAACTTCTCAAGGCTTCATCGCTTTTGGACAGATCAGTGTGTGCGCGCTAGGAACTTCCTTCTCGGGTTAATCCACCTTGGAGCTTCAAACTAAGATTCCTAAGGCCTAGTTGCTTGTCTCATGCTTTGCCAGATCTGAATCCACACCCATGTGTACAAGACTTGAAGGAACGAGTGTCCACCTTGCATCTTTCATTTTTAGCTTTGTGCATTGGCACTTTGTTGCTTGGCTTCTTTCACCCTTATAGCCTTCAAATTTGTCTCATGTGGTAAGATTCAAACCCATCAAATTTCTGAGTCCTAAGCCCTCTTCCGCAATTCACTCCTTGGTTTCTCTTGCCTCAAAGTGATCCCTTGTGCTTCAACTTCTCAAGGCTTCATCGCTTTTGGACAGATCAGTGTGTGCGCGCTAGGAACTTCCTTCTCGGGTTAATCCACCTTGGAGCTTCAAACTAAGATTCCTAAGGCCTAGTTGCTTGTCTCATGCTTTGCCAGATCTGAATCCACACCCATGTGTACAAGACTTGAAGGAACGAGTGTCCACCTTGCATCTTTCATTTTTAGCTTTGTGCATTGGCACTTTGTTGCTTGGCTTCTTTCACCCTTATAGCCTTCAAATTTGTCTCATGTGGTAAGATTCAAACCCATCAAATTTCTGAGTCCTAAGCCCTCTTCCGCAATTCACTCCTTGGTTTCTCTTGCCTCAAAGTGATCCCTTGTGCTTCAACTTCTCAAGGCTTCATCGCTTTTGGACAGATCAGTGTGTGCGCGCTAGAAACTTCCTTCTCGGGTTAATCCACCTTGGAGCTTCAAACTAAGATTCCTAAGGCCTAGTTGCTTGTCTCATGCTTTGCCAGATCTGAATCCACACCCATGTGTACAAGACTTGAAGGAACGAGTGTCCACCTTGCATCTTTCATTTTTAGCTTTGTGCATTGGCACTTTGTTGCTTGGCTTCTTTCACCCTTATAGCCTTCAAATTTGTGTCATGTGGTAAGATTCAAACCCATCAAATTTCTGAGTCCTAAGCCCTCTTCCGCAATTCACTCCTTGGTTTCTCTTGCCTCAAAGTGATCCCTTGTGCTTCAACTTCTCAAGGCTTCATCGCTTTTGGACAGATCAGTGTGTGCGCGCTAGGAACTTCCTTCTCGGGTTAATCCACCTTGGAGCTTCAAACTAAGATTCCTAAGGCCTAGTTGCTTGTCTCATGCTTTGCCAGATCTGAATCCACACCCATGTGTACAAGACTTGAAGGAACGAGTGTCCACCTTGCATCTTTCATTTTTAGCTTTGTGCATTGGCACTTTGTTGCTTGGCTTCTTTCACCCTTATAGCCTTCAAATTTGTCTCATGTGGTAAGATTCAAACCCATCAAATTTCTGAGTCCTAAGCCCTCTTCCGCAATTCACTCCTTGGTTTCTCTTGCCTCAAAGTGATCCCTTGTGCTTCAACTTCTCAAGGCTTCATCGCTTTTGGACAGATCAGTGTGTGCGCGCTAGGAACTTCCTTCTCGGGTTAATCCACCTTGGAGCTTCAAACTAAGATTCCTAAGGCCTAGTTGCTTGTCTCATGCTTTGCCAGATCTGAATCCACACCCATGTGTACAAGACTTGAAGGAACGAGTGTCCACCTTGCATCTTTCATTTTTAGCTTTGTGCATTGGCACTTTGTTGCTTGGCTTCTTTCACCCTTATAGCCTTCAAATTTGTCTCATGTGGTAAGATTCAAACCCATCAAATTTCTGAGTCCTAAGCCCTCTTCCGCAATTCACTCCTTGGTTTCTCTTGCCTCAAAGTGATCCCTTGTGCTTCAACTTCTCAAGGCTTCATCGCTTTTGGACAGATCAGTGTGTGCGCGCTAGAAACTTCCTTCTCGGGTTAATCCACCTTGGAGCTTCAAACTAAGATTCCTAAGGCCTAGTTGCTTGTCTCGTGCTTTGCCAGATCTGAATCAACACCCATGAGTACAAGACTTCAAGGAACGAGTGTCCAACTTGCATCTTTCATTTTTAGCTTTGTGCATTGGCACTTTGTTGCTTGGCTTCTTTCACCCTTATAGCCTTCAAATTTGTCTCATGTGGTAAGATTCAAACCCATCAAATTTCTGAGTCCTAAGCCCTCTTCCGCAATTCACTCCTTGGTTTCTCTTGCCTCAAAGTGATCCCTTGTGCTTCAACTTCTCAAGGCTTCATCGCTTTTGGACAGATCAGTGTGTGCGCGCTAGGAACTTCCTTCTCGGGTTAATCCACCTTGGAGCTTCAAACTAAGATTCCTAAGGCCTAGTTGCTTGTCTCATGCTTTGCCAGATCTGAATCCACACCCTTGGAGCTTCAAACTAAGGCACATTTCGGAAATTGTTTGAGCGGATCGATGAAATGCTTCAAGTGCGGCCAAGATGGACACTTCATCAAAGATTGTCCACAATGGAGGGAACAACAGCCAGTTGCTGAGGCACCAAGGATGGGCAGAGTCTACACCCTGGATCAACATGTGGCAGACCAGGCAGCCGAACTAGTTAAAGGTACGATCAATATATGTGGTGAAGAACTATCTCTTTTATTTGACTCTGGTGCTACCAATTCCTTCATTGCTAACTATGTGGCAAAAGCCTTTAACTTAACTGTGAGCCCAATGCAATCCCCAATGCAAGTCACCTCTGCGACCGGAGAAATGACAGTGTCTCACTTCATATGTAGAAGTGTAGAATTCAGATACGAAGGGAAGAAGTACAACCAAGACTTCATAATTCTCCCCTTAGCCAAACTAAACCTAATATTGGGCATGGACTGGCTGGCCAAACAACGCGTAGTAATTGATTGTAGCAGCCGAAGTATAATGGTCGGCGGGGAAATGATGGAGACCCCACTCCCCAGTACTTCACCGATCGAAGCAAGAGATTGTACTTTCATGCTAATAGCCGGCCTAGTAGGTGCAAGCGAGATATCGCTGATGAACATTCTCGTGGTTAAAGAATTTGAGGATGTATTTCCTAATGACATTACCACCTTTCCCCCTGAAAGGGAAGTTGAGTTCTCTATTGAACTTATAACCGGGGTTGGGCCAATCTCAATTTCACCCTACCGCATGTCTCCTCTTGAACTGGTAGAATTGAAGAAGCAGCTAGAAGACTTGATAGGGAAGAATTTCATCCGACCCAGTGTGTCCCCGTGGGGAGCACCAGTTCTATTTGTAAAGAAGAAGGACGGGTCAATGAGACTTTGCACGGACTATCGGCAACTCAACAAAGTGACTGTCAAGAACAGGTACCCCTTGCCTCGTATCGAGGACTTAATTGATCAGTTAAGAGGTGCGAAGGTGTTTTTGAAGATCGATCTCCGGTCAGGATACCACCAGATCCGAATCAAGCTGGAAGACATCCCTAAGACAGCCTTCAGATCAAGATACGGAACTACGAGTACCTGGTCATTCCCTTCGGATTGACTAATGCCCCGGCAGTATTCATGGGCTACATGAATCAGATCTTTCAACCTTACTTGGATCGTTTTGTGGTCGTATTCATCGACGACATACTAATCTACTCGAAGAGCAAAGAAGAGCATGAAGAACACTTGAGAACTGTGCTACATATATTGCGGAAGAAGCAACTATATGCAAAACCATCGAAGTGTGAATTCTGGCTGCCACAGATCCAATTTCTTGGACATGTAATCTCAGATGAAGGAGTAGCAGTGGATCCCAGTAACATCGAAGCAATAGTAAACTGGGAACGACCAAAGACTGTCACGGAAATAAGAAGCTTCCTTGGGCTAGCAGGATATTATCGAAGATTCATAGAAGGATTCTCGAAGAGGGTGTTGCCACTCACCCGATTAACAAGAAAGGAAGTCCCTTTCGTGTGGACCCAAGAATGTGAGACCTATTTCCAAGAGTTAAAAAGAATGCTGACAACAGCTCCAGTACTGACGCTGCCAGACCCAGAGGAACCATTCGACTGTATTGTGATGCCTCCAAGATAGGCTTGGGATGTGTACTTATGCAACACGGCAGACCAGTAGCGTATGCATCCTGACAACTGAAGCCGCACGAAGAAAACTACCCCACACACGATCTGGAATTAGCTGCGATCGTGTTTGCCTTGAAGATATGGCGTCATCACTTGTACGACGCAACGGTAACAGTGTACAGTGATCACAAGAGCCTCAAGTATTTATTTGATCAAAACGAGTTGAACATGAGACAGCGCCGTTGGATGGAGTTCATAAAGGACTACAATTTCGAATTGCAATACCACCCCAGCAAGGCGAATGTAGTCGCAGATGCCTTGAGCAGAAAAACTAGAGGAGTTGCGAGCATGATGATAGCCGAGCATCGACTAATAGAGGAATTCCGGGACTTGACCTTAGCAGTGGCAAATAGCGAATGCGAGGCCGAATATTGGGCGGTGCAGATCTTAGACGAATTACTAGAAAAGATCAAACATGCTCAGCAAGTCGTCGACTGCTTGAAGAGACTGAGGAATCAATCTGGTGTTAGCCTGAACCAGCAAGGCATAATCACTTTCCAAGGGAGGATAGTTGTCCCTGCAAAACTGCTGAGGGAGGAAGTCATGGAGATGGCGCATAAGAGTCAATATTCAATACACCCAGGAGCCACCAAGATGTACGCAGATTTGAAGAAGAACTTTTGGTGGAAAGGGATGAAAAGAGACGTGGGCAGGTACGTGAGCAAATGCATGGTGTGCCAGAAACCAAAGATTGAACATCAGCGACCGGCAGGCACCCTACAGCCCTTGAGCATCCCGGAGTGGAAATGGCAGAGTATATCGATGGACTTCATAACAGGTTTACCCAGAACTCAAGCAGGCTACGATGCCATCTGGGTAGTGGTCGACAGATTGACCAAATCAGCACATTTCATACCGGTAAAATGGACTTATACGACAGAGAAGTTGGCCCAGATCTATGTGAAGGAAATTGTGAGGCTGCACAGCGTCCCTGAAAGCATAATCAGTGATCGGGATCCTAAGTTTACATCTTGGATCTGGTCTTCATTGCAACAGGCGTTCGGGACCCAACTACGATTGAGCACGGCGTATCACCCCCAGACCGATGGACAAACCGAGAGGACAATAAAAACACTCGAGGACATGTTACGGGCTTGCGCTTTAGAGAAGGAAGGCTGTTGGGATAAGTACCTGCCATTAGCAGAATTCTCTTACAATAACAGTCATCATGCCAGTATCGGTATGGCCCCGCATGAAGCACTTTATGGAAGAAGGTGCCATACACCTATATGCTAGGAAGAAGTTGGCGACAGAGAGTTGTTTGGACCAGACATGATCAGGGAAACGACAAAGCAGATCAAGATGATCTGAGATAGGCTACGGAAAGCCCAAGATCGACAGAAAAGTTACTATGACTTGAAGCACCGACCCCTAGAATTTGAAGTAGGGGATCATGTATTCATCAAACTCTCCCCTGTTACTGGTGTTGGCAGAGCTCTTGGTGTAAGGAAGTTAAGTCCACGCTATATCGGTCCCTATCAGATATTGAAAAGGGTAGGACCGGTAGCCTATCAGTTAGCATTACCACCCAATCTGGCAAACCTTCACGATGTATTCCATGTAAGCCAGTTGAAGAAGTATTTGGCGGATCCCTCCCATGTTGTATTACCGGATACTGTGGAAGTAAGACCCAACTTGAAGATTTTGGTGGTACCCTGCAAGATCCTAGACAAAGAAGAGAAGCGACTTCACAGCAAAGTGATACCAATGGTAAAGGTGCAATGGCAAGGAAGAACTCCCGAAGAAGCAACCTGGGAGCGAGAAGACGAGATCCGACAGAACTATCCCGACTTAGAATAATTGTAATTTTCGGGACGAAAATTTTATTAGGTAGGGTGGATGTAATAATAACCCAAAAATCATGTACTCGAAATTAGCCTAATGAAATGGAATCAAAGGGCAAAGCCCATATTCAGTGAACGATTATCCTTGAAAAAACAAAGTTAGTCTTGAGTTAGAACCCACTCTAACTAAGATAAGTAATAACCCAACTCAATGTGGTTTAAAGCCCAAACAATGTCGTAGCCCAACCTACTTAAGAATGTAAACAAGTAAGATCAATTGAGAAAGGATTGAGCTCAAAGCAATGCAAGCCCAATTTATTAACTGAATAAGACTTGACCCCAAATAGTATACATACAAGGATCTAAGCCCACAACACTTATACCCAAGTCTAAGCCCAATTGCTAGTGACCTAACCCTTATTAACCCAATGGGCCGAACCACCCACAAAGCCAACACCGTGGATCCCTTTAGTGGTGTAACAAAGCTCAAGTCCATGAACATGTGAAGAATGATGTGGCATTTGATGAATGGTTGCCACTACATGCAACCAATGAGGGAAAATTTGAAGGAAACTTGGCCATTCTCAAGTTCAAGCCGTTGGCCATGTTGAAGCAAGGAGACAAGAATTGCTTTCCCACTTCCCTAGGTGACACATCAAAGACTCATGAACCCAATACTTTCCTCATTCGTGATTTAAAAAGTAGATCCACTTTTCCCCTTCCCCTATGCGAAATTGTCATCAAAAAAAGAAGTCAAGAGCATGACTTGTCTTACACACTCTATATTGAGTGTTGCACACTCAAAGCTACCTTATTCAACCTCTATGCATTGGGAAGAACACCATGACACCTTAAGCTACCACCCTCCCTCTTTATGCGAATCCCTCATCACTTGGTGCATACACACTAACCAATAATTCCTTATTGGTGATTTGAAATTGAACCCTTGCTTTTTCTACCCTAGGCGTGACATGCAAGGAGGAAACCCTCAAAATCCCTTCCTCCCCTAAATCCACGTGAAAGAATTCATGGAAATGAGATGGAGTATAAAACACTCAAGCATGATTACCTCTCCTTCCTCCCCATGCGCACACATTCCCAAAGGACCAAGGGAATACGTGATTTGTATGACACCTTGAGTAACCTACACTCTACACTCTCTTTACCCCCTCCCCATGCGTATGACAACCTTGAACAATGTGAGAAGATTTGCTTATCCCACACTCAACCTAGGATCTAGCCTATCCTCTCCTAGGCATGATGATTAAGGGGACTTGAATAAAAAGTGGACGACCAAAGACATCCCCCCTCCTAGCCGTACACCACCCCAAGGAACCGAGGCAAGAAGGACACACTCCCTCACTTCTAGCGACGGCCACCATCTCATAGACAAGAAACAAGTGAACCAACACCTCTCCTCTCCTCTTAGACTTATGTAGAGAGAGATCAAGAAGTTGTTGGAAGCAACTCTCAATCTTAGAAGGCTCCTTGAAGATCAAGTGTGAAGCATTGGCTAAGATTACATCTTAGATATCATCATTAAGGTAAGATCTTATGAACCCCTTCATCTTTTCAAGCTAGTAGAAATGAACCCCAACTAATTTACATGACTAGATCTTAGACTAATAAAGCCATGCATGCATCTATCACCCTTGAAAGCACCTCCTAAGTGTATTATTTCTAAATGGCCGAACCTAAAATGGTATACATGCACCCTATAGTTCTTAGAAACATTTACTAAGCACCCTAACTCTAAAGGGCCGAACCCTAATAAGCCTAAAAGGGAAATCGTGAATGTTTTCTTAGTACCATGATGTATGGCCGAAGTGTATGCAATAGAATAGGACCTATGCATGAAAGCAACTAGCAAAAATTATCTCCTAGGCATTTTCATCGTAAAGGGGCCGAACATATGTCAAGAAGGAAATTAAGTTTAGATCTTATAATTCTAGAGCTATGTACTAAGTTTGAATATGTGATTAGGCCAAACCGAAGCTTGAAAAGAGATCTAAGACACTAAGACCTTCATTTGGCCGAATCCATCACCTACGGGAAGAATTTACAAGGCAAAAAGTGTAAGTGATTTATGGTTGTTGTAGTAGTTTCCCTATGGTTGCCACCCTCTTTATGTAAAGTGTTGGTTTGACTGCAATCTGTTATATGGTGCATTATAGTGATATGTTTGGTTGTTTGGAACTAATGTTTTGTTCATGCAAGATTTGTTATGATGGCCTGTGCACTAATACCACAGAGGCAACCTGACGAGGACCCTGGGTATTCGTCCGTAAGACCATGGAGAGTAATTGCCATGGCAGGATTGGTATGATGATATGAAAGCATGATTATTTTCCAAACTATGTTTCAATGTTTCTCCCATTCTATTATTGTATATGTTATTATATGACAGTTGCAGGAGTAAGCATCATGGTTTGGAGGTTGCTCCAACTGTGAGTCCTTACTGAGACCCCAAATCTCACCCCTCTTTGGGGAATCCCCCTTTCAGGTAAAAATGACCAAATGGGTAAGACAGGGTAAGAGGTTGGCACGACTTGAAGAGGATACTGCGCAGTCATGTGCAGATAAAGTTGATACTACGCCGTCAATTGTGGGTAGAGTTATGAAACTATGTTATGAAGGAAAGTTTGAGCAGGCCGACTATATTATATGGCAGGAAATTTTTGGAGGCTATGATCGCACTGAATCCTTATGGATTGAGTGATGCACTTAAGTTATATTTTGGATGACTGTAATGGATTATGTATTTCGATTACTTAGACATTTAACCTGCGGTTAAGATACTATATTTTTGGTGTTTGACTTGAAGGGTTTATGTTTATTGGACTATGCAAGTAAGTGGTAAGACTAAAATGTTTTCAGCCATGTATGGTTAATTGACTAAGTTTCTATATTAAAAAGGATTAAGAGGTAGATATGAGATTAGGACTCCACCATGGTGCCTACGACTTTTCAAGGGAACCAAGAAGAGATTAACTCGTAGGAACTGTTTTGTTTTCTCTTTAAGGTAAGAATGGATAGAAGTTAGATCGCAGAATGAGTTAGAAATTAACATGAATACAAATCATGACATAATGTACCCTAAGCGTTGTGAGAAAATCGTGGACGTTAAGAACTCATGACTAGAAAGAGATAAGATTATTAGATAGGAGAA